TCGCCGCCCGTTGAGAGATAGAGAGTGGAACATTCGGAGTGCCATTTAGCATTTCTCATTTATAACAACCCCATCACCGTGCATCTACTTGGATATAATATATGACGGTAAAAAATAATAAAATACTGAAATATATTGATATTTTTTTATAAATTATACTAATAGAGTTTGACACAGTTTCGATCTTTTCCGTCGAAATCTTACGTATTCAACGGCACCATCCTGTCCTATAGTGACTGCAGTGAATAGACTGTGCCCATCCTCTCGGATACAAGCAGCAACAGCAACCACGCGTGTCTTTCCTGCTTCAGTTTGCATCACGGGTCACGGCGCTGCAGCCTGCTGCCGAAGCGTGGGCGAGATCCATCCATGGCGTCCGTAGCCACCAGCACAGCCGCCGCCGGGCCACGCCCCGAGCGGCCGCACGTCGTGCTTGTGGCCAGCCCCGGCGCAGGCCACCTCATGCCGATGGCCGAGCTGGCGCGGCGCCTCGTGGCGCACCACGCCCTCGCGGCCACGCTCGTCACCTTCTCCGACATCTCTGCGAACCCTGACGCGCACTCCACCGCCGTCCTTTCCTCCCTCCGCGCGGCGAACGTTTCCACGGCCGCGCTCCCCGCAGTCCCGCTCGACCACCTCCCCACCGATGCCCGCATCGAGACCGTGCTCCTCGAGGTGATCGGCCGCTCCATCCCGCACCTTCGCGCTCTGCTCCGCGACGTTGGCTCCACCGCCCCGCTGGCCGCCCTGGTGCCTGACTTCTTCGCCACCGCGGCGCTGCCCCTCGCCTCCGAGCTCGGCGTCCCGGGGTACATCTTCTTCCCCAGCAACCTCAGCGCGCTCTCCGTCGTGCAAAGGGCCGTGGAGCTCAACGACGGCGCGGGCGCCGGCGAGTATCGCGACCTCCCGGACCCTCTCCCGCTTCCCGGGGGCGTGTCGCTGCGCCGCGAGGACTTGCCGGACGGGTTCCGGGACAGCAAGGAACCGGTCTACGCGCACCTCATCGACGAGGGCCTCCGGTACCGAACCGCTGCCGGCTTCTTGGTGAACAGTTCTACGAGATGGATCCGGCGACCGTGGAGGACTTCAAGAAGGCGGCCGAGCAAGGCAGGTTCCCGCCGGCTTATCCGGTGGGCCCGTTCGTCCGGTCAAGCTCCGATGAAGGCGGCGCGTCGTCGCCGTGCATAGAGTGGCTGGATCGGCAGCCGACGGGATCCGTGGTGTACGTTTCCTTCGGGAGCGCCGGCACGTTGTCCGTGAAGCAGACGGCCGAGCTCGCCGCCGGGCTGAAGGACAGCGGGCACAGGTTCCTCTGGATCGTGCGCATGCCAAGCCTGGACGGCGAGCACTCCGACGACATGGGCCGGAAATCCCGTGGCGGTGGCGACGAGAACGATCCCTTGGCATGGCTTCCAGAGGGGTTCTTGGAGAGGACCCGGGGGCGCGGCCTCGCCGTGGCGTCGTGGGCGCCGCAGGTGCGCGTGCTGTCCCACCCGGCGACGGCCGCCTTCGTGTCCCACTGCGGGTGGAACTCCACGCTGGAGAGCGTCTCGTCCGGCGTGCCGATGGTGGCGTGGCCGCTGTACGCGGAGCAACGGATGAATGCCGTGGTCCTGTCGGAGAACGTGGGCGTGGCGCTGCGGCTGCGCGTCCGCCCGGACGACGGGCTGGTCGGGCGCGAGGAGATCGCGGCGGCGGTGAGGGAGCTGATGGAGGGGGAGGACGGGCGCGCCGTGCGGCGCCGGACGGGGGACCTGCAGCAGGCGGCGGACCTGGCGTGGGCGCCCGATGGCTCGTCGCGCCGGACGTTGGAGGAGGTCGCCGGCAGGTGGAAAGCGGGTGCGGTTGGCGAAACATTTGTCGTTTCGTCATCGTGAATCGTGATGATGTTGATGTCTGTTGTCGTGGTTTGTCGTCGGAATTTGTGCTACATAAATAAAAGGATAAAAGTTCGATTTATCCTGTGAACTTAACCTTGAATTTAAAAACATCATTGAACTATTTCTTAAGTTTCAAAACCTGACAAATTACCACCGTCACCTCGGCTGAAAATAGTACACAATGGTTTCGAATGAGTTTTTGATTGAATGTACCACATATGTGACATGTGGGCCCATATTTCTTCTTTTCAGCCATGCCATTGTTTATTGACGGCTTGTTTAGTTCTACTAACTTCAAAAGCAAGATGCTTCTTTGATAAAACATTCTACAATTTTGCACCACATCATACTGGTCATACATTGATATTTTTAACTGAGCCATATTTCATCGAATGTGTGTGTGTGGATGTGAACCTAGAGAAAGATAGACTGAAATTACCATATAACATATTAATGTATTTTTTTTTCATAGCCATGGACTTAGGGTTTTGGATAAAAAGTGAAATTTCATTAATATAGCTGCAAAATGTAGAAAAAAAAGAAAAATTGCAGCTATTTGATGTGGAAAGAAGTTTTTTTCTTTCAATCAGGTCCAGAATGAAAATACCCTGAGGTTGCGGTATAGATTGAAGTTTATAGTACAAATGAAGGTACATTTTTCTTCATTATTTTGATAGACATATTGATTTCATTTTCTGCCTGACAGGAACAAAGGTTGGTCTTTACTTAACATACAAATGAAAAGAAAACCAAAATTGACACAAAAGCAAGATTATCTTTACTATCTTTTGTTCTTCTACAATCTTTTAACACACATACTGGTCATACATTGATCCACAGAAGGCCATGTGTTTTTATTTCTCATCCTATATTTTTCTGCACTATTTGCCAAATAAAAAACGGAGAAGGTCTGCTACAATAGCCCCAAAATCTAAATTTCGCGAACTAAACAAGGGCTGAATATTTGGGCACCCACATAATCTTAAATAAAAAGTTCAAACAGAAAGATATATATCTTGTTGAGAACTAAATTTTTGTCTCCGTATGAGTACATGTCCATGTTTGATGTCATTTGAAAAATAGAAAAAAAATCAAAATCTGAGAACCTCAATCGGAAATTCAAAATTTTTTACCAAAATAAATTGAATTTTTTTGTATACGAGAAGTGGAGCGCGACGCTGGGATCGGAGTGGTCGGCACAGCAGGTGCGCTCCCTACAACAGGTGCGCTCTATTGTCTCCATCCAGCCGGAGACGAGCGCAATCTGGGCCGCCCAAGCGGGAGGAAGCATTTTTTTTTTTTGGTAACTGCAGCATGCATATTTTCTAATTTCATACCGATTTCCCTTTTTAATTGTTTTCTACTCCTATTGTCTTTTGAGTGTGTACCACTTGTTTAAGGCACGTAAAACATAGAAAACCTACTTGAGATTGCTTCGGTACCACTAAAATTTTATTAGCAGCACAAGGCCGCAAGTGGTGTACAATGGTCCCAAATTACAGAATGCAATGCCTCTCTAGTAGGGCAGCTGGAAACATGATAAACATTGGAGCATGAAATCTCCATCAAATTGTGTGAGACAGCAACAGATTTGAATGCTTGAGTGGCTATTGAGAGTTTGCAAATGGGCCACAGACTAGGCCCTGATTTAGCCCATTTAAGTTGGCACGTGGCCCAACCAACCTGACTCGAAGTTCATCCTCTCCTTACCGTTCCGTTCTACAGAACTAGTAGATTATTATTACATGTTGCTAAAAAAAAGTAGATTATTATTATTACATTTGCTCAAAAAAGTAGATTATTATTACAAAGTAGACTTCCTTTTCTTTTCTTTTCCTTTGTTTCTTTTTTTGTTTTTTTTTCTCAACGGCGACTACAGGGTAGACACTTTACGGCCAGCTCAATGTATGTGTAGATTATTAGAATTCTACTAGTACTATACGGTTGTCCAGCCTAGGCCTCTACATCTTTTTAAAAAGTGAAAAATATAACCTCCAATCTCTTCGCATGATACTGGAGTTCAAAATTTTGGCGTGCAAACGCATTAAAAATCATGAGTCCTATAGCTTGAGGTGCTGTGCATATTAATCACGAATCTAATTCCATCAGTTTCTCTCAGTGTTGGATACAACTTATATTATGCTTATTAAGTCCTTGTTTGGTACCGCTCCTCGAACCGCTTCTGAAGCCGTTTTAAAGCTCCACCAACCAAATGGTCTCCATCCAACTGCTCCACACATGAGAAACCTCTGAAATCCCATTGACGGGAGGTGGAGGGCACAGCGGGAGGGTGCAACAGAGATGGCGTGGGCCACGACGAAGAGGGCTTGGGCGCGGCGGAGATGGCACGGACACGAAGGAGAGGGCTCAAGCACGGTGTAGATGGCACGGGCATAGAGGAGAGGGCTCGAGCATGGCGTAGATGGCGCTGGCGTGCTCGGTGAACGCGAAGTCGCGAACAAGATCGACATGTCGTGTTGAGGCGTGTGATGGGAGACGGTATAAGGAGGAGTAAGAATAGGAAGGAAAAAGAGAAATAAAAGGGAAAGAAAGAAGGAAGAATTGGAAAACATAGAAAGAAAAAAGAGGAAGGGTATTATATGTATTTCGTAATTTTCAACAGGTGAGACTGTTTTGCCAAAACGTTTTTCTAACTAATGAAATTGAAACTAGAAAAATTGTTTCTTTGGAGAAGCTATAGTTGTTGTTTTTTTTAAGCCAGAGCTCTACCAGATAGACCCTGAACATTCAACGTGCTTGCCTATAGCCATCTGTCTCTGTACTTGATGTAGGTCATGTAGATCCATGATTTTTCCATACGGTCATTGAATTATTCTCTCATCACATTGTATACTTGCAATATTGTACTCATCATCGCCTGCTCTTCAGTTAGCCTACCTGACTTTGAAATTTTGATTCCACTTTAATGGTAATTTTTTTCAATCTACTTTGAGTTTTATATTTCCACTACGATCCATAAGTCAAAGAACCAATTGTAGAGCTAGCTAGAGGGCTCCATTGTGCGGCGCCGTGGCTATGCGCCGTTTGACACAACGCTCAAAACTACTCCTATACGAAGTCAAGGCACCAACCATACGTGTGCGAGGGTGACATTTCAACATGTCTGCGTCGACCACCGGTGCATGTGACACGTCGTCGCCGTCGAGTGAGTGGCCGTCGTCGCCGCCGGAGCTCATGGAGAAGTTTCCGTCACAGAAGCAGGTTGAGGTTGCGCTGTTCGCGAGCCCCGGCGCGGGCCACCTCATCCCGCTGGTGGAGCTCGCGAGGCGGCTCGCCACGGACCACGGCTTCGCGGTCACGCTGGTCACGCTCACCGGCATGTCCGACCCGGCCAAGGACGCCGCGGTGCTGTCCTCGCTGCCGTCCTCCGTCGCGACCGCGGTGCTCCCTGCTGTGTCCCTCGCCGACCTGCCCCCGGACATCGGCTTCGGTACCCTCATGTTCGAGCTCGTCCGCCGCTCGCTGCCACACCTCCGCGCGCTCATGGAGGGCGCCAGCCACGGCCCGGTGACCGCGCTCGTCTGCGACTTCTTCGGAACCGCGGCGCTGCCGCTCGCCGCGGAGCTCGGCGCGCAGGGGTACGTCTTCTTCCCGAACAGCTTCGCCATGATCTCCATCATGCGCCACATCGTGGAGCTCCATGGCGACGTCGCCCCCGGCGAGTACCGTGACCTCCCGGACCCCCTCCCGCTCCCTGGAGGCCTGGTTCTCCGCCACGCCGACCTCCCCGACGGGTTCCTTGACCGGAACGACCCAGTGTACGCCTATCTCGTTGAGGAGGCACGGAGATACGGCCGCGCCGACGGCTTCTTGGTCAACAGCTTCGACGAGCTGGAGGTCGCCATGGCGGAAACGTTCAAGCGGGACGCCGAGGACGGCGCGTTCCCTCCGGTGTACCCTGTGGGGCCCTTTGTCAGGTCAGGCTCCGGCGAAGAAGCCGATGAATCGGCATGCCTGGAGTGGCTGGATCGCCAGCCGGAGGACTCGGTGGTATACGTCTCCTTCGGCACCGGGGGCGCGCTATCCGTGGAGCAGACGGCCGAGCTCGCCGCCGGGCTGGAGATGAGCGGACACAGGTTTCTTTGGGTCGTGCGCATGCCGAGCCTTGACGGCAACCCCTGCGCCCTAGGGACGATCCCTGGCGACAAGGACGACCCACTGGCGTGGCTCCCTGACGGATTCTTGGAAAGGACGAGCGGCAGGGGCCACGCCGTCGTGGCGTGGGCGCCGCAGGTGCCCGTGCTGTCCCACCCGGCGACGGCGTCCTTCGTGTCGCACTGCGGGTGGAACTCGACGCTGGAGAGCGTGGCGGCCGGCGTGCCGATGGTAGCGTGGCCACTGTACGCGGAGCAGAAGACGAACGCGGCCATCCTGACCGAGGTGACCGGCGTGGCGCTGCGGCCGGCGGCGCGCGGCCACGGCCACGGATTGGTGACGCGCGAGGAGATCGCAGCTGCGGTGAGGGAGCTCATGGAGGGGGAGAAGGGAAGCGCGGTGCGCGGCCGGGCGAGAGAGCTGCGTGAGGCTTCGAAGCGGGCGTGGTCGTCGGAAGGGTCTTCCCGGCGGGCGATGGGGGAAGTCGCCGGCAAGCTGAAGGCTGCACTTGTCAACGGGAATGAATCGATTGCATGATTCGTTTTCCCGTGAATTGGATGAGATAAAAACTAAAATTTCTGTTAATTCGAGTAATTTTTATTCTCCTCAATACCATTCAGTGGGTGCGGTAATTATGGTTTATGGACTGGAGTACTCTATACAAAGTTTTTTTTTTGCCTGCATACGTGTTTCTCTTCTCCTAAGATAGTCTTACGAAAAGAAATCTCATTGGATGTCTGTTTAGTTCAGCCGTGAACCGTGAAAAGGCTATTATAAGCTATGAAAAAGTTGTTACGAGCTATATGCTACGAAAAAGATGTAAGTTGTTTTGTTGAAACAATTATAAAAATCCTTCGGCCTCTCTTCATCTTCCTTAAATAGCTGAAAAATGTCTCTATTTTCATCTATTTGGAAAAGTTGAAACCCAAGATGTCATGAAAATTGTATTACTCGAAAACAACTGCTTTTAAAAAGAAAAGGCATCTTTAGGTTCTATCTATTTGGTTGACTTTTTCCTTTTTGGTAGTAGGGCTTTTCAGAAATAGAACCAGACACAACCTTCATTTAACTCTATTATAGGGGTACAAAAGGAACTTGAAGCCATTGCAAGGGCAGCTTAAGAACTTATTCTTGTTCTCATGCACGCTCTAAAGTTTTCGTATCAATTCGTTAACTTTATAGTGAACCTATAACCTAAGCCAACAATAATTATAAAGGTCACTCCACTACAACTGTGCGGAGTAGAAAAATTCGTTATACCCAGCAAAACATGAGGCCGAGTCTGATTATTCTGTGTTCTGAATTTAGGAAACTCGGATCATCTCTAGTGAGAAGTTGAAAGCGAATCTTCGTCATACTAGGACGCATGCAAAGTGAACCAAACTAGTGAAGAAAGTGAATCATGCGTGGAGAGAAAGTGAACCAAACTAGGACGCATGCGTTTGACAGCGAGAAACGTTTGAGATTTTAGTAGCTAGTGTAATGGCCCTGTTTGTTTCGCTAAAATTTGGCTGATGCTAGATGTTGATTTGTTATGAGAGAAAAAACAATCATAGGTACGAATGAACAGAGCTATCACCTTCTTTGGCCGGATCTTCTGATCTTTTTAGAAAACCAGTTCACTGCGCGTCCCACCCGTCATCAGTCCTGTGTTGCCTATGCTTGCGCCCCAAAACGGTTGCTGACTTTGTACAACTTCGTAGGGCGCGCTACGGCAACACAGCCTACGCTTTGCTGCTTGCTGGTTTTTCCATCATCCAATCCACAACAAATTGTATGAAACCGCTTCGGATTTCTTTTGATGAAAACCCTTGATCTGCTCTCGCTCGCCGCTACTAACAGGTCTCGGTTGATTTTCCTTCCTTTAGCTACTTAGATATTTCAGTTCGCTAAGTTTGAAAAGTCCAAAGAGCGCAGACTAGCCACAGAGCTTGGATATGGTTTCCGATCGGAGATCCATGGATCACAGACGCTCTCTCCCCATGGTCTTTCACATCTTAAAGCGTCCTTCCTTCTCAGTGCCCGGGCATCCATCCAATACGTGATTTTCGATAGCGTGGAACATGAGCGGTAGACCAAACATCCACACAATCTCGATTTGACACAGCAACACTCTCCACCTCTCTTCCGTCCCTTGGATGAGATAGGAAATCCTCAATTTTCCAAGACGGAAAAGAAGCAAGCAATTGATTGAGCAACTAGCGCGAAAGCCTTTGCGCTAACGCGCATCCTCTTGCTTGATTTTTATATGATTTTCGTCCAACTAAGTAGAAAAGGATAGACGAGTGTGGCTACACGTGGTATAGGGCTGCTCGTCTTGCCGTAAGTTATTGATCAGTACCAACTGTGCTGAAATAGTGTTGAAAAATAAGACGAATATCATTTTGATAGGTAATGCCCTTCGCATGTCCTTGGCGGATTTTTTTTTTTTTTAACCCTTTTCTAAAATAAATTTCAAATCTACTACCATTGCTTTTTTATTTTCAAATCTAACCCGTTTGGCCGCACCTAAGTCCGTGGCACGACCAAAACACGCTGTCGCGCCATATACGTCGACGCAGCACGATCTGCCACGTCGGACAACGATTTTCACGTAAAAATCCTTACCACGCCACCCCCGTTGGCGCGGTAGCACGCCGTGCCAACCAGACTGGCGCGGTAAGGTACAAACTTAGAAAATTTATATCTTTTTAATACGATCTCGGATGAAGATGATTTTATATGAAAATTATAGCTCTCGACGAGATCTATAACCTTTTAGTTTGAAGTTTTTTTTTAATTTGAGGTCATTAAGATGCTCAAAAAAATTAAACAAATTTCAGTAGTATATTAATCGCGTATAAGTGCTTGTCGCCTTGGAAAAATCGTATCTCTCTTATCTTGTGTCAAATGAAGATACTTTGTTTATGAAAATTGTAGCTCTCAACAAGATCTATAACTTTCTAGTTTTGAGTTTTTTTAATCTGAGATCATTAAGATGCTCAAAAAATTTAAATAAAGTTTTAACAGTATATTAATTACGTACAAGTGCTCGTCGCCTTAGAAAATTCATATCTTTCTTATATGGTGTCAAATGGAGATATTGTTTATATGGAAGTTATAACTTTCGATGGGATCTACAAATTTATAGTTTTGAGTTTTTTCATTTGAGATCATTAAGATGATTAAAAAATAATAATATAAAGTTTCAGCAGCATATTAATCGCATACCAGCTTTTTTCGCCTTCGAAAAATCATATCTTTTTGTACGGTGGCAAATAAAGATATTTTTTTTATAAAAGTTATATCTCTTCAGGAGATTTACAACTTTATAGTTTTAAGTTGTTTCATCTGAGGTCGGTATCTTTTTTGTACGGTGTTGAATTAAGTTTTTCCATTTAACTTTCTTCCACCAGGTAGCAACCATTGAGAGGGTCTTGTCTCCGATGGGGGTTTCTCTCTATGACTGGTGATGGACCTGCAGTTGTATAGGATAAAGGCAACCTTAGTCGGAGAACCTTCGCCACGGTTGTTATTTGTCCGGGGTCTTCCGTTGAGAGCCATTGAACGTCCCTCTTGACAGTCGAGGGTTCGTCGGGGCGGCTTGCCGAAGGTGCTCCCCCCCAACACACGCTATTGCTATCTTACTTACACTTTTATCCTCGCTTTGCATAAAAGATTAATCCAAAGATGGTGAAAAAACTTACTTATAGGAGCCATCGTTAATTGTAAATTTGGTGAGGTCTAATAAACTTCGAATCTTTTTGTTCCTATCTCGTATCTAGGGCCTCTTTGGCTCGTTGCCGCAACTTGCTGCAACACAGCTGCGGCATGCCACAACACGTTTGGCTCCTGCCCTACTTACGACGTGCCAAAGAAAACACAACATGCTCTAGTGTATTTGTGCCAAAGCTAGCCAAATGTATGGAGGGGAATTTGAGCGCCGCACTTTAGGCGAGCGCAACTTCCACTATGAAAGAAATTCATTAATAATTTGAATAAGTTCGTTAATCGAATTTATAAAAGGTTTCATCGATATCTGATGCTATTTTCACCTCTTTTTTTTATTTGTGGAACTGGCCAGCTTGGAATTTTATTTCGGAGATACCAGAGCCTGGACGTTTGGATGCACGCCCGTGCCTGCCCACCATCTTCGTTTCACGTGCGCCCGTGTGTACGTGGGAAAAGTCGTATCTTTATCCCCGGTATAAAGTTATAGATCCCATCAAGTGCTACCATTTGACACCATATAAGAAAAATTCTTTGAGGAAAAAAAAAAAGACCAAGATGCTAATCACAAAGAAATAGAAAAAGTACTTACCGATGCCGTGTTCCAACGGTGGAACCAAGTTAAGATCGATCCCAGTAAAATTATCATCTTCTGGTGGATCCAAGTTCAGATCGAGTATCAAGATTTGGCTACCTTACTCGAACTAGTGGCAAGCAAACTTATCAACAGTGGAGTAGAATACGTACCGTTCCGTTTATTGGTGTTGTATAAATAAGCACCCCGCCACATGCTAATGCTCCAAGCGGCCGAAAAAAATGGCGCGGGTAGCTTTGCTACAGCGCGCGACTGTGAAAATTTCATATGCGTGGCTGGCCGAAAAAAATTACAACGCCAGGAGTCTATCAGCTTGAAAAGTAGTGCCCTTTACCACCTCAGCACAGAGCTTGTTTTGTTTCAACTAACGGGACCCTATTTAATATGGGCAAAGAGGAAATGGGCACCTTTATTAAATACTCTTTGGTACTAGAGATTATGTCCAAAACGACATGTTTTTAAGACCTGGAGGGAGTACAATTTTTCTAAGACGACGAGTACTTATACGCGATTAATATACTGCTGAAACTTTGTTTAATTTTTTTGATTATCTTAATGACCTTAAATTAAAAAACTCAAAATTAGAAAGATGTAGATCTCGTCAAGAGTTACAATTTTCATATATAAAGTATCTTCATTGGACACAATATAAGAGATATACGATTTTTCTAAGGCGATAAGCACTTGTACGCGATTAATATACTGCTGAAACTTTATTTAATTTTTTTGAAGCATCTTAATTATCTCAAATTTAAAAACTCAAAACTAGAAAATTATAGATCTCGTCGAGAGTTACAATTTTTATATAAAAAATCATCTTCATCCAAGACTGTATGAAAAATATATAATTTTTCTAAGTTTACATCTTGCCGCGCCAGTCTAGGTTGGCGCGGCGCTACAGGGCTGCCGCGTCAACGGGGGGGCGCGGCAAGGATTTTCACGTGGAAATCATTGTTCGACGTGGCAGATCGTGCCGTGCCGTTGCATGTGACCCGATAGCGTGTTTTGGCCGTGCCATGGATTTTGACGTGGCCAAACAGGCTAGATTTGAAAATAAAAAAGCAACTGTATTATATTTAGAATTTATTTTAAAAAAAGGTTAAAAATATAAAAAAATCTCCTTGGCTAGGTGAGGAGAAGAGGGGACATCAGTTGCGTGCGGACGTCTCCTGCCGACTCTGACAGCAGCAACCAGCAAGCGAACAGAGAAAAGGAGCAAAGCAGCCCAGCGACG